AAAAAAAAAAAAACCTAGGCTGTTTTTATTCTTGAAACAGGTCTTAAGAGGTGTTAATATTTCTAATTTTAGTAAAGGTAGACTGTAAACTTGTTTCACTAAAAACAGTAGAGTACAAACCCTGGTATTGATCCTGAATCCTGCCTTACAAATGTCAGAGATCTTTGTGTCACTCATGTCTTCTCCATTCAGGTTGGTAGAATACTTGCAAGCCATGAGGAATTTTTTCTTAATGGAAGGAGGAGATACCATGTATGACTTCTACACATCAATTTTTGATAAAATAAGAGAAAAGGAAACCTGGCAGAATGTCTCTTTTCTTAATGTCCAACTCCAGGAAGCCGTAGGACAGCGTTATCCTGAAGATAGTTCACGGTAAAATATGGAAGCCACCTTTGTTTGAATTAGTATAAAATGAACTATGTGCCAGTAAGTCTTCTACAAATTACATACATTGTTTTTCCTTGAAGCATTCCTATGAGTTTTACTAATATTATTTTACATACTAGAAAATTGAGGCCAGGGGCGGTGGCTCACACCTGTAATCCCAGCACTTTGGGAGGCATAGGTGGTGGATCACCTGAGGCCAGGATTTTGAGACCAGTCTAGCCAACATGATGAAACCCCATCTCTACTAAAAATACAAAAATTAGCTGGGCATGGTGGCAAGTACCTGTAATCCCAGCTACTTGGGGGGCTGAAGCAGGAGAATCGCTTGAACCCGGGAGGCAGAGGTTGCTGAGATTGCACCACTGCACTCCAGCCTGGGCAACAAGAATGAGACTCCATGGAAAAGAAAAGAAAAGAAATTTGAGGCAGAGGCTAGCTAAGTGACTGTCCCACTAAACAAGAGAAGACATTGAGATGCTACTATATGGCCAAGTGCAGTGGCTCACACCTGTAATCCTAGCACTTTGGGAGTCCGAGGTGGGAGGATTGCTTGAGCTCAGGAGTTTACAACCAGCCTGGACAACATGGTGGAATTGCGTCCCCACATAAAAATAAAAAAGATGCCACCATCCACCTTGTCAGGGTCTGATGGCACCCTTCACATGCTTGGAGTCAGTGTTTCCTCTGTCTCTCTGAGCTCCCACACATCACCAGGTGTATCAGTCCTGCTTCCCAGAAAAGTCCCCTGAGCTCTCAGGACTGTCTCAGAGCTCCCCAATGGCATCTCTGTCTCTCAGCCTCACTCCTTTCCACCAAAATGGACTTGACCCTCACCATAGTGACCTCAGAGCACCAGCAGTGACTTCCACCACTCATGCCCAGGCTCCCCGTGGGTGCCTGCTAACAGATGGACTACACTTTGTCTCAGGAGGGAGAAGACTACTGTCTGGCTCCATTGTCCCAGCCTCATGACTTGCACATGTACACCATGTTCTCCTGTCTCACTTCACATTTCAGGGATTTCAGAATATTTCTGGTGTCTGCCAGTGCTGTCCTCCCGCCTTCCTGTGACATGCTCTGCAGTTGTTGGTCCTGGCAGAGGCCTGCTCACTCCTACATCCCCGTGTCTTCATGTGCTGCACTGGGCTGGGAGTCCCTGCAGGGACGAGAGGCTTTCTATGCCTGCTTAGTGCAGCCCCTAACTTAGTATTCGTATTTGGTAGATGCCCACCGAGCACTGAGTCAGTGCGTACATGTCAGGCCATTAAGAGCTAGAACTTCTGACTAGAGCTTGTGTCATGGATCAGCAGTTCATATGCACACACTGCCCTCTGACAGCTCTGGTATGGAAGTTAACTCCCCACTTTAAACCTTCCTCATGTGCATCCGGGCATCCCCCCTTAGTGCCTCTGACTGTGTAAGAGGACATTATTTCTCAGGAACCACTGATGAGACTACTTTGAGGGTTAAATGAGCTAAGGACACATAATAGTTCCTGTCACGTGGACATTTTCATGTTCGTGTTAGTTGCTTGCTTTCCCCTAAGAGTCACATTCAAACCTGTCTCAGGAACTTGTGGATGAAGCCGTGCACACCACCTCTGGTGTAGAAGTAGACTCCAACCCGTCCTGATGGGGCTGCTGAAGCAATGCTGCCATGGCCTGAAGTTTACTGTCTTACCCGGCTTCATCTTTTTTTAATCACTGCCATTGTTAAGTGTCTCTTCCATCACTAAACTCATTATTTAAAAGCTTTCCCCCTCTTCATTATTTCTACATTCAAATTTCCGTTCTGGAATATATGTCAGAAAAGATACATGTGTTGGAATGTGTGCATTTCTTTTATGAAATGCAGTATTTTGGGGGGAATATTATGTAAATAATACTATTTTAAAAGAGCATTTTTGTATGACGTAATGCTTTCACAAACTAAAACAAATTTCTTTTTTTAGTCTGTCTATATCTTTTGAAAATGTTGACACAGCCAAGAAGAAACTGCCTGTTCATATCTTAGATGGTCTGACCCTCAGCTACAAGGTATATCTTGATATTCTTTGTATGAACAGTGTTTCTTACAAAAAGTAAAACATGCAAGTAATTGGTTACTTTCTATTCTAATTTTGTTTTTATTTCATAGGTCCCATGGCCTGTGGACATTGTTATAAGTTTGGAATGTCAAAAAATTTATAATCAAGTGTTTCTTCTCTTATTGCAAATAAAGTGGGCAAAATATAGCCTGGATGTTTTACTTTTTGGTGGTAAGATTTGTTTTCCGCAGATACATTGTAATTTAATTTAATTTTAGTCCTAATAAAACAGGTTGGTGGGAAAGGGACCATATGGGGATGGTGGTTGTTGATCATCTTCAGTGTGTACACAAATGCCAGCATGGCGCATATTCTAGCAGTAGTTTTACGGACGTCAAATACCTGAAAGAAAGATCAGGAAGTTGTATGCACAGTTGATCTGAAATGCAACAACTTGATTAGGAATTTGACCACAATAAATTTTCTTGTGTTATGCAAAAATTTGAAATGACACATTAATGAGATTTCGTCATGTTTCATGACAGTAGTAAGAAAAGTGATAGAGGGAAATGTTTCCACTGCACCTTCCAGAGGCACTGAGGTTCAGTGTCTGCCACCCCTGCCAGTGCTTTCTGTGGTGCCAGGGCTGCATCCCTCAGTTTCTGCCAGGCTTCATGGTGCAGTGGGGTTTGAGTTGATGATCTTTCTCTCTACTTTGCTCTTCCAATCTTCTGTAGAACTGGTTAGTACTGCTGAAAAACCACAACCTAAAGAAGGCCTTGTACATGAACAAAACACAGTCACTCAGTTCGGACCACAGAAAGAACCAGTGAGACAGCAGATTCATCGCATGTTTCTCTTAAGAGTGAAGCTCATGCATTTCGTGAACAGCTTGCACAACTACATCATGACCAGGGTTTGTGCCTCTCCCATCTGCTTCAGTTCTGTCGCCTCATCTATACAGTTGTTCATAGAGAGTTACTTATCATATCTTTATAAATACAAAATACCTACAGACTGTGAAAACGGGACATGTGGCAAATTTAACCATAAAATAACATGGCGGTACGAGGAAGGTTTTTGTAAATATACTGGCGTGTGTGTATCCAGAGGCTGCTGTCCCTCCTATCCCGTCACCCTGGGGACAGGCACAGCCACAGCTCCTCTCTTGGAATTTCCTTCGCAATGTGCCACATAGGCCTTTAGGTTTCATTACTGTTGACAGCTGTCCCTAAAAAGATGGCTCCAGTGTTTAATACCCCAAATTCACAGGCCATTGTGTGTGGGAGGAAGATGCAGCCAGGTTATATTATTTCTTTTTTCTTTTTCTTTTTCTTTTCTTTTTTTTGAAACGGAGTCTTACTCTGTCGCCCAGGCTGGAGTGCAGTAGCATGATCTCAGCTCACTGCAACCTCCAACTCCTGGGTTTAAGCAGGTCCCTGCCTCACCTTCCCGAGTAGCTGGGATTATAGGCACGTGCCATCATACCCAGCTAACTTTTGTGTTTTTTTATTTTTATTTTTTTGAGACAGAGTTTCGCTCTTGTTGCCCAGGGTGGAGTGCAATGGCGCGATCTCGGCTCACCGCAACCTCCACCTCCCGGGTTCAGGCAATTCTCCTGCCTCAGCCTCCTGAGTAGCTGGGATTACAGGCACGCGCCACCATGCCCAGCTAATTTTTTGTATTTTTAGTAGAGATGGGGTTTCA